CATGCGGACACCTCGACCTGCGGACAATTCGACGTAGGGACACGTATTTTCTAAAAAAAATATTCATAAAAAGGCCCAACAGGAGGACACTGACTCGACATAGGGACATTTTGTGATAAAATTGCAAATACATTTCAGGCCAAATTACGAGAAACAGACGTTTCCAACCCTAAAATTGATGCAAGAAAAGTTCTTGGGCATTTCTCTCACCAATTTACCATCCATTTAGCTGATTTTAAAAAATAACCTCCAGAATAGAGGGACTTCCTTCTCTCTTTTTCACTTGCATGTTATTTTTTACAGAGAATGCCAACATTTTTATGTACTGTACAGAGGTTTCAGTATTCAATTCCCCAACTGTCCATACTGTGTTGAAATATATTGATTGAATATTTTTAAATTGGGAGACAATTTTTATTTTCCTGGGATTATGGTGAGTATTTTGTACATAAAATACCAATTAAAAAGTATATAATGTGAGTCTAAGGGAAACTGAGGCTCGACTTAGGGACATTTCGACTTGGGGACACTGTTGATGCACCAATTACGTCCGCATCTTGGGGTCTCACTGTATTTTATGCGAAAAAATCCATGCCATTACTCTTTAGTTTATCATGAATCCCACGTTGAAATGTGCGCCATCTACACGTCGTGATTTCCAAATTACCGAATTTTTATTAGTTGATTTACAGAACTAGACAATTGTATTTTCAATATAGCGTGTGTTCTACTGCTTTCAAGAGCCTTTTGGTTTATGTATACTAAAATTGAAATATTGATTTTTGAGTAAAACTTGAGAAAAAAACTCTACGCAAAAATCTGGCCCTCATATTCATTGATTCTTTCGAAACATGAAATGAATTCTGTCGTGTTTAATGTAGTCAGTTTCAATTTATTGCAGTGAGTTTTATTTTTGACTTCGTATTCTCGAGTTTACCAAAATTAAACTCGATGATTGGAAGAAGGTTGTCGTGCTAATTAATTGAATGGATTTAAAACGGATTTCTTAAACTTCATCAAGCACAGTATTGATAGTTTTTACTGTATTCTCAAAAGTGCCGGGCTAAATTTGCTTCGAAATATGACTTGAAATCAATTTTGTGGGAAACAAAAAATGCGCCAATTATTTGAATGAACGATTCTTGTCTTCTGAAAAAAAAAAAATTTGCCGTTTATAAGCCATTCATACGGTATTTTCCGCGTTTTTCGCATAAATCAAGCTTTTTTCTTGAGCAACCCCCATCTAGCATCCATCAAGTCGCGGTTTTCCGACACAGTAATGACTTGAAAAGCCGAGGCCTTTCTTTATATGTACTCAAAGGAATTTAAGAGCATAGTGAGTTTCCTTTATTTGATGTGAAAACATATTTCCGGGAGTGGTTTGGGCGTGATGTTCACGCATTTACTCGAATATTTCGCTCTTTTACGAGAAAATAATTTTACTTAGTTCAGAAAAAATCGAAGTTATTCAAAAAAGTTTTGCCGTGTACTGTACAGTACTACAATGTTGCGTCTTAACTTTTATTCAAGCGTTAAAATAATGTTGAAAAAAGCAAACTAAAAAAATTGTTTTTTCGCATAGAAAACCATTTGCGGTGTTTACTTCAGGAATAAAGACATAGAGTTCATAGACCATGAATTAAATCTTGCAATAAAACTATTCTCAATGTCAGACATCTGCAATCAAAATAAATCTTCAGCATCGAATTATATATAAAAAATCAATCCCTTTTTACGTGAATATTCTTCGAGAAAAATTGATGCCGGGATACTGTCTCAGGGTTGCCCGCGGCCCATAATCGCGGGAATACGGTATCTTCGGTATTCATGGAATGATTCCCATTTAAAGAATGGTGTCGTCTGGGGGTGTGAAAAAATAAAAATAACTGGATTTTTCGTGATGTCATGTGGCGAAGAAGAAAAAACTTTCTCGTGATTTGATGGAGCGAGTAGCGTTTTGGAATTAATGGAGCACTGGTCGAAGATGGGAACGTTCGCGGTTGGGATTCCCATCAGAATAGCTTCCTTCCTTCCTTCCTTCCTTCATTTTAAGTTCTGTCAAAAATAAAAATGGTTTTTTTTTATTTGGCTGGAGGGCCAGGGTTTCCTGTTACCTGGACACACGCGGTGAACTTCGTGACGCGATTATTACGTGCGTTTTGTTGCGAGCCGAGACAGGCACGCGATTTGGCTTCCGAAAAGCGTATGGGAAACCATTGTCTCGTCTGTGAATAATCCAGGATTTGTATTACAGTATTTTGAACATAACTTTTGAACATTTCTTTTTTCTTGTGTCTGATGAGAATCTGACGTGTACCGCATTTTCTCGATTGTGCAGTGAAGTCTCGGTTAATGGACGAGATTCATTCTCCACTGGGACGTTCATTATCCAAAATGTATTTTTTATGGATCTAGGAAAATTTGAGACGGGGCCAATTTGAGACAGATACTGTTGGAGACAGGGACAAATCAAGACGGATTCATTCTGAGAATTTGAGACAGATACTGTTTGAGGCAGAATGACTTGACGGTGTTTCTCCCTAATTTCATATGTTTAAGGTGTGAAAATGAACAAAAATTGCACTGTTTGGGGAAAAGTTCTGCTAATTTTGTTTCACATAAGACAATTTCACATAGGGAAACATATTTGTCCAGAAAAAATATATAAAGAAAGGCCCAACATGTGGACACTGACTCAAGGTGCGGTCAGTTCATGCCAAAAACGTCAGTATAAAAACAGCATTTATCAGGAAGAATGACAAGAAACTGCACCTTTTGGGAGTTATGTAATATTTTGCACTTCAAATTTCTTGCATGACTGGCTATTCAACAGGAAACCGTAGTTGCTTTGGGGCTGTCTCAATTTGTTCCTGTCTTGGATTGTCCCTGTCTCAAGCTGTCCCCGTCTCAAATTGTCCCTGTCTTGAATTGTCCCTGTCTTGAATTGTCCCTGTCTTGAATTGTCCCTGTCTCAAATTGTTCCTGTCTCAAGTTGTCCCTGTCTTAAATTGTCCCTGTCTTAAATTGTCCCTGTCTTAAATTGTCCCTGTCTCAAATTGACCCTGTCTCAAATTGACCCTGTCTCAAATTGACCCTGTCTCAAATTGACCCTGTCTCAAATTGACCCTGTCTTGAATTGACCCTGTCTCAAATTGTCCCTGTCTTGAATTTACCCTGTCTTGAATTGACCCTGTCTCAAATTGTCCCTGTCTTGAATTTGTCCCTATCCCATTTTTTATCCATTCCTATGGCGTATGTTGACTTAACAAACTTACCAGCTAAGAAATTTGGACCCAGCATACAAAGCTCTCTTTTAGCTTTAAATGAGCCCCTCCAAAAATGTCCATCCCTTGTCTTGTGTGTTACAAATTATCATCCAAGATTTCCTTGGGTATTTTTCTTGTTCTACATTGGTGATTGAGATTGAAATCACTCAGATAAAGAAAATTGCCCGATTTTGCCTTTCATTTGAAGATTTACATTTTAATCTTTTACTACTGTCTCTGGAAAGTTATTTTAATTTTTTCCATCATTTTATTACTTGCATAAAAGTTGAGACGCAAGATTGTAGGCATCGTGAGAATTGTTTGGTATAATTTTCTTGTTTTTTTTGGTTTCCAATCTGAACTTTTTTTTCTAATTGTGATTTGTCCGTCAAATTTTGCTCGACTCATTAGCCAAGACCCCCACTATAGTGATATGTAGCTACAACAAATATCGGTTCAACGAACTCATTAGCACCTGATAATTGTTGTTACACCGTAATACATGTACGTAATTAATTTGCTGAAATCTCGTTTTAGCAAACTTTTAGATGAACCCTGGTCACCCGAACGCGTAATTTTTTTTTTCACGTGTTCCGAAGTACTGTCATGATGAAACCAAAACAACAACAAAGGCGAGGGAAATTCTCGTGGGTATTTTGCGATTTTTATTCAACATGGCGTCCGCCTACTCGATTGTAGGAACGGGACCAAATTTTATTTTTATGCAAAAATCCCCCGAAAAGTTCCAGAGTACTGGAAAAAAATATATATATAGAGAGCTGGACTTGGACATTATTATAGTAAAGCCGGTATTATCCGTCTTAACTCGGGTTCTTTTTCCGATCGGGTTCTTTTTTTTCGCTCCCTTCCCACGGAAAACGCGTTTGCGTTCGTTGACTGCACGTGAGGAAACGTACTGAACTGCATATTAGTAGCCAAGTCATGCTCAGAGCTCCGAACTCGTGGAATTTCTCAAGAAGGGTTACAAGCATTTTATTCCGATTTTTTTTAGTACAGTACTGTATACTGTACTGTATTAGTGTATCTACTCAAATATAAGTCGCCGCCGTATATTGAGAATCATTGGTAAAAAAAAATAAGTACAGGTATTCAGACTTGATGAAATTCCTACATATACTGTATTCTACTGGAGGCTTGATGTTTCTTTAAATTTCCAATTTTTTTCCAATGCCTGTTGTACATAAACATTATTTTTTATTAATATGGGCTGAAGTGTTGTTTTGAAAAATAAAATAAAATAGAACTACTCAGCCTGAGTGAATCAATTTGCGTTTCTATTCCTTTCGAGGGTGCATATTTCGCTCAAGAATTCCCCTGATTTTTTAACGAAGTTGTAGTAAAGGTGTTTTGTTAGTTTTTTTTAGCTGCTCAAAAAGATGTTGTGGTCTATATACTCGCGTAAACGCCTGAAATATCTTGAATGCGATTATTTCTAATATCCTGTTCCGTGAGGGCATTTGCATTTCTTGAATTCTACGAGTTAATTTTGATTCTGCGAATGGGTTTATTTTTGGACTCAGGCTTGATGAACACTTCTCTTCATGAGAATCTTTCATTGTTATCAACACCAACCCCAGCATTGCTGATAAGGCCTGAAAAATCTTAATTTTGCAATGATTATAAAATCTGGAAACCCACTACAAAGATTTCATAAGCATTTAAAAAAAGCTAAGAACCAAAACATTTTTTTTTCTTTTTCGAATATTGCAGAGCATGGGCGAGTCGAGTGCGAGTTCCGACAGTCTGGACGACATTGCCACGGCGCGGTCACTTTCGCCGCCGTTTTCGACTGCGGGGGAGCCTGAGCCGCCACCTGGTGCGGGGGCGCGGCCGAGGGCGCCGCCGAGATGCAAGAAGCGTCCTGCGCCGGCGCCGCCGCCTGCACTCGTCCGCCAGTCGGTCGATAGCCCCGTTTCTGGGTCGGGGTCTCATCATGCCAGGAATCTAGCCCAAGCCCTGGTCCTTGCAGACGAAGACGCTCGCAGCGACATCTCTGCGGCGGCGTGAGTGTCTTTTTTTATTCGGCGACTTATTGTCGAAATTTTTATTTTTCAAAATTACGGAGCGGCCACACGAAAATACAGTGAGACCCCCGCATGAGGACACCTCAACATAGAGACACTTATTTTCCCATTAAAAATTCATAATAATAAGGCCCGACATGAGGACACTGACTCAACATAGGGACATTTTGTGATAAAATTGAAAATAAAATTTCAGGCCAAATTAGAAGAAACAGATATTTCTAACCCTAAAATTGATGCAAGAAAAGTTCTTGGGCATTTCTCTCACCAATTTACTTTCTCTCACCAATTCACCATCCATTTAGCTGATTAAAAAAAAAAACTCCAGCATAGAGGGACTTCCTTCTCTCTTTTTCACTTGAATATTATTTTCAAAGAGAATGCCAACATTTCTATGCACTGTTCAGAGGTATCAGTATTCAGCTCCCCAAATGTTCATATTGTGTTGAAATATTTTGATTGGAATCAGTTTAAATTGGGATACAATTTTTATTTTCCTGGAATTATGGTGAGTATTTTGTACATAAAACACCAATTTAAATTATATAATGTAAGTCTAAGGGAAAATGAGACTTGACTTAGGGACATTTTGACACTGTTGATGCACCAATTACGTCTGCATCTTGGGGTCTCACTCTGGAAACAAGGGTTAAAGATACCGACCTTTTCAGCTGCAGTTATGGAGCTATCATATTGAACGGAAATTGAATGAGAATCAATCGGCTTTTGTGAGACTTTGAAGTAGCTTGGAGTTCAAAATTTTTTGTGTGTCATTGGCCTCATTGCTGAAACCTTTCAAAATATCCAGGCGTTTAGGAGTCGATATTCTTTGTGTTATTGTGTCCACCGTGTAGAAACTAGAAATGTAATTATTCAAGAATGATGATTGGGTCCCAACGTCCAGATATTCGAATTTCAAAAGTTTTCAAAATTTTCAAATCGTTTTACGAAAATATATTTTATCAAAAGGGTTCAACAGGAACTCTGACGTGGTGTAGAATCCCCAGAAAATCTTGAAAATCGAAACATGTCAGACTCGAAGATGGACTTTTCTTCTACTGAGAGATTCCGAAACGTGTTTCTTCTTCTCTGATGAATGGAGAAAATATTAATTGTAAAATGTTGTCCAAATTCCGTTTTTTTCGCGACAGTTATTTTCGTCGAAATCGAAAATCATCACTTTTTTTTAGTATCACACGTACCTTAATTTTTGAGACAATAAATTGATATGTAAACCGCGCAATCAAGTTTCATGGGACGCCGAAAATCAATTTATATTATTTTGATAAACGCTAAAAGTTAAATCTAATTTTCTGATTATTTTTTCATCTGCCAGTTTCATTTGAGCCGAAATGAATGTTTCAACTCATTCTAGGCTTTAAAAAGTAGTTATTTTTAAACTTCATTCAGTGTGTTCAAAGTATGACGCGCTAAAAAAAATTTACAATTTTGTCGAAAATTTGTATACATGTAGAATTTGTCTGCTACGATCTTGTTTACCACGATTTTCTCTGTATAAATTTTTTGAAACTATCCTTTCAGGTTCTCTGCCCAATTCATAAGGGTTCTCTATAAATAATTTTTCCTGGTTCTTTGAATTTCATCGTTAAGAGAGTCCACCTGTATTCGAATAAGACGCGAACCTCCTCCCTTTTTAGGTTACTTTTAAAGTTTAAAAAAGTTAACGAGGCACAAGTGGTAATTCGCAATTCGACCGTCCCGCAATTCGACGGTCGAATTTGCAAGGAGGTTGACTTGCAATCTGACCCTTGCCCCGCAATTCGACCTTAGGTTGGCAACGGATTAGGGTCGACTAGCGAAGTACCACCTGTACTCGAGTGAACATTGTAATGGTATTTATGAAACAAAAATTGTTTCGCGCCTGTAGGTCCAGCGTTGGGTTCCCGGATCGGAAGCAGAAGACGTCTACCCCGAAGGGCGGCGAGAAACCGTGTACCCATCATCATCATCATCATCATCATGGGGAAGACGAACCCGGGTCACATCTCACTAACTTGACTGCCATCCCGAGCACGTCCCTGTCGTCCATCGCATCATCCATCCCGCCTGGCAACCCGAGTGGGGTACCCGCACCCGTCATGCCGGCCGGCGTGTTGCGCAACAACAGCAACAACACCAACAAGCGGCAAAAGGCTCGTGCTCCTGCACCGCCACCAGCAGCAGCAGCAGCGGCGCTACCACCGTCATCATCATCGTCATCACAGCCGCCATCGTCGTCTTGCGCGGCGCCACCAGACACGCCGCCTTTGACGTCGCTGCACCACCAGCAACATCAACAGGAGCAGCAACAGCAGTCTAGAAAGCAAGAAAGACTGGTGCCACCGATGCAAGAACATATTCAGATGATGCCTGGACCAGCTGCTGGAGTTTCTGATAAGGATGCCGTCGATGGGCGGAAAGTAGAGTCACCGGCACCGTCTCGGACTAGTCACGGTGAGTGTTCCCAGCAGTTGTCACCACCACTTGTGTGAAACCCCCCCCCCCCCCCCCCCCCCCCCCCCCCCCCTCC